TGTGTGGCTCCACTTCTGGGGAAATGCAGTCCTCGGTCTTTGGCCGAAAGAAAGTGTCGACTTCCTGAGCCGAAGGGAAAGTTATAATGATACCAGAGGCCCGGTGCATGAAATTCATGCACTGGGGTGGGGGTCCCTCAGCCTGGCCTATTTCCTCTCACAGTCCAGGATCCCTGTGATGGATCACCCCCACAGAGGGAGGCCCCGCCCACCCACTGCAGCCCGATGGTTGGTGGCCTGGGCCTCCCTCTGAAGGGCGGTCATGGGGCAATGGCTGGGCCCCTGCCTAATTGCATCACACCTGCCTTGGCTGGCCTGGCGCCAGTGGGTGTCATAGCGTGGTAGTCCAGACTACTGTCCCGCTGTTTGGATGTTTGGTCAATTTGCATATTACACTTTTATTATTATAGATAGTATTACAGATATTTACCATTTTAACCCCCTTGTCCTCCCTTTTCACAGACCCTACCTGCCCCCTTCCAGATCTTCACTACACTATTGCCAGTGTTCATGGACTATGCATTTCCTATGTAATAAAGAGCTAATATGCAAATGGTTGTCATGCCCTCATGCTGTCATGTGGTAACGACTCAGACATTCAACACTGGGGAGTTAGGAATGGGGACCTGCCAGGCACAAATGAGCTCACGAGAGAGGAATGGGGACCAGCCAGGCTGTGGCCCAGGGAAGGGACGGCCGCCTGCCCCGTGGTCCTGGGTGTCAGCAGTAGCGCCTGCGCCTGCGCCCTGGGAGAGGCACAATCCACAGGCACCATGGTCCTGGGCGCCAGCGGCTGGGGCTGCGGTCCTGGAGAGGGACAAGCCGTTCACCCTGTAGTCCTGGACTCCAGTGGCTGGGGCTGCGGCCCGGGAGATGGACTAGCTGCCTACCCCATAGTCCCAGGCGCCAGCGGCTGAGCCTGCACCTGCGGCCCGGGAGAGAGACAAGCTGCACGCCCCCTGGTCCTGACTGACAGCAGGTGTGCCTGCGCCTGCGGCCCTGGAGAGGGACAATCCACATGCCCAGTGGTCCCCATGGTTGCGGGCTCCAGCGGCTACGCTTGCCGCCAAGGAGAGAGAGGGACAAGCCGCCCGCTCCACGGTCCCAGGTGCCTGTGGCTGTGGCCTGGGAGAGGGACAAGCCGCCTGCTCCACATTCCCAGGCACCTGTGGTTGCAGCCTGGGCCAAGCCGCCTGCCCATGGTCCCCTGCAGCCGGCTCGGGCAAAGCTGGCCAGGGTTCTGGGTGCCTGCGGCCAGCCAGAGGAGGAAATCTTGGGTCCCGGGTAGGGGGCAAGGCAGAGGTGGTTAGGGGTGATGAGTCCAGCAGAGGAGCAGTTAGGAGCAAACAGGCTGGTAGGGGAGCAGTTAGGGGCCATCAGGCAGGCAGGCAAGTAGTTAGGAGCCAGTGGTCGTGGATTATGAGAGGCAGTCGGACATCCCCTGAGGGGTCCCGGATTGGAGAGGGCACAGGCCGGTCTGAGGGAACACCCCTCCCCCGTGCACGAATTTTGTGCACTGGGCCTCTAGTAATTATATAAGTTCTTTGCTGTATCTCTTCTTGTTCCACCAACCCCACATGAAGTTATGTCAGTCTGTTCTATGCCTCCCTGCTTCAGGTCTTATTTTGTTGGTCAGTTCATTTTGTTCATTAGATTCCACATATAAGTGAGGTGATGTGATATTTATTTTTCTTAGTTTGGCTTATTTCACTTAGTATAATATTTTCAGGTCCATCTGTGCTGTCCCAAATTTATGAGATCCCTCTTTTTTACTGCTGCATACTATTCCATTGTGTACATGTGCCACAGTTTTTTTATCCATCTACTGATGGGCAGTTGGGCTGTTTCTAAATCTTAGCAATGGTGAATAATCCTGCTATAAACAAAGGGGTGCATATATTTCTGATTGGTGTTTTGGGGTTTTTAGGATATATCCCAAAGTGGGATCACTGGGTAAAATGGAAGTTCCATATTTTATTGTTTGAGGAAACTTCATATTGTTTTCCATAGTAGCTGCAACAATCTGCATTCCAACTAGCAGTAAACTAGTGTTCTCTTTTCTCCACATAACTTGCCAGCACTTGTTTGTTGATTTTTGATGATATAGCCATTCTGACAGATGTGAGGTCATTATCTCACTGTGGTTTTAATTTGCATCTCTCTGATTATTAGTGACTTTGAACATTTTTTTCATGTTTGTGGCTATTTGCTTTTCGTCTTTGGAGAAATGTCTGTTTAGGTTTTCTGCCCATTTTTTAATTGGATTGTTTGTCTTTCTTTTGTTGAGTTGGATGAGTACTTTAAATATTTTGGATATTAACCCATTATCAGATGTATCATTGGCAAATATGTTCTCCCATACAATGGGTTTCCTTTTCATGGTGATTTCTTTTGCTGTGCAGAAGCTTTTTATTTTGATGTGGTCCCATTTGTTTATTTTTTCCTTAGTTTCCGTTGCCCTAGGAGATATATCCATAAACATATTGCTACATGAGATACTTGAGATTTTACTGCCTATGTTCTCCTGTTCTCTAAGACATTTATAGTTCCATGCCTTATATTTAAGTCTTTTATCCACCTGGTGTTTATTCTTCTGTATGGTGTAAATTTGTGGTCTAGTTTCATTTTTTTTTTTCTGTGTCTGTCCAGTTTTCTCAGCACCATTTGTTGAAGAGACTGTCTTTATTCCATTGTATGTTCTTGCCTCTATTGTCAAATATTAATTGACCACAATGGTGTGGGTCAATTTCCTTTTTTTTTTTTTCTGATCCATTAGTCTATATGCCTGCTCTTGTACAAATACAAGGTTGTTTTGATTATAATGGCTTTGTAGTGTAGTTTGGTATCCAGTATTGTGAACCCTTCTATTTTGTTCTTCTTTGGAGAGATT